TACTATAGTGGGTCCTTCATTTGTTGTTTTCTAATGATTTGGGTTTTGTTGATTTGTTTTCTTAATTGTTCTCTGGCAGAGAGTTTGGCTTACTTCTCAGTTCACAGTGTGTTATCATCACTGATCCATATAACAGTCTTCACTTATTTGTTTCCATTCTTTTATTTCCTTTTTTTTTTTTTTTGCTTATCCCCTTTCTGTGTATTTTTGTAAATTTTGTACTTTTGTATTTTTAAGTTATGTAAACTATATTGCATTATATCTCCAACCTATACCTTCCTTTTTATTTTTTTAAAGATTTTATTTATTTGAGAGAGAAAGAATGAGAGAGAGAGCACTAGAGGGGAGAGGGCCAGAGAGAGAAGCAGGCTCCCTGCCGAGCAGGGAGCCCGATGTGGGACTCGATCCCGGGACTCCAGGATCATGACCCGAGCTGAAGGCAGTCACCCAACCAACTGAGCCACCCAGGCACCCCTGTACCTTCCTCTTTAAAATCAACTGTACTATGAGGATCTGTTTGAGTAGAGTTCCAGACTTTCTCCATGTGCTTGTTAGTCTTTTGGATTTCTTCTTGTGGACCATAAAAAGCAGTGTACTGTAGGTAGTTAAAAATATGGACACTGGTGGGGTGCCTTCCTGGCTCAGTCAGTAGAGTATATGACTCTTGATTTTGGGGTTATGAGTTCAAGCCCCACGTAGTGCATAGAGCTTACTTAAAAATAAATAACCAGGGGCTCCTGGATGGCTCAGCCAGTTCAGTGTACAGCTCTTAGTATTGGCTCAGGTCGTGGTCTCACAGTCGTGGGACTGAGCCCCACATTGTGCTCAGCAAAGTCTATTTCAAATTCTCTCTCCCTCTCCCTCCCACTTTCTCACTCTGTCTTTCTCAAATAAATAAATAAAATCTCTTAAATAAATAAATAACCTGAATGTGAAGGGTAGAACTATAAAGTTATTGGAATAAAATGTAAAAAATAATTTAAAAAAACAAGCATGAACACTGGAGCTTGATTACTTACTTGGGTAAAATCCTACCTGTGCCACTTATTAGCTGTGTGACCTTAGCAGCTACTTAACCTCTCTGCGCCTCTGTTTCTACTTCCGATAAATGAAGATAACTATAATACCTCCATCTTAAATTTAAATTTTAAAAAATTAGGTGAAATTCACACACCATGTAATCATTTTAAAGTATACATTCAGTGGCATTTAACACATTCACAATGCTGTACAGAAACCAACTCTATCTAGTTCAAAATATGTGCATCATTTTAAAAAGGCATTTGTGGGCGCCTGGGTGGCTCAGACGGTTGGGCGTCTGCCTTCGGCTCAGGTCATGATCCCAGCGTCCTGAGATCGAGTCCCGCATCAGGCTCCCTGCTCCTTGGGAGCCTGCTTCTCCCTCTGCCTCTCTCTCTCTCTCTCTGTCTCTCATGAATAAATAAATAAAATCTTTTTTAAAAAAAATAAATAAATAAAAATAAAAAATAAAAAGGCACTTTGTACCCCTAAACCGTCACCCCCATATGCCTCTATCCCCAGCCCCTGGCAACCACCAATCTGTTTTCAGTCTCTATGGATTTACCCATTCTGGGTATTTTGTATAAATGAATCATATAATATGTAAATGCAGTTTGTCTCTGGCTTCTTTTCCTTAGCATAACATTTTCAAGGTTCATCCATACTATAGAATATATTCGTATTTTATTCCTTCCTATGGCTGAATAATTATCCCATTGCATGGATATATCATATTTTATTTATTCATTCATCTTTTGATGGGTATTTGGATTGTGTCCACCTTTTAGCTACTGTGAATAGTGCTACTATGAGCATGTGTATACAAGTATTTGTTTGAGAACCTGCTCTCTGTTGTTTGGAATATTACCTAGAAGTGGAATTGCTGGGTCATATGGTAATTCTATGTCTAGCTTTCTGAGGAATGTCAAACTGTTTTACACAATGATGCACCATCTTACATCCCCACCAGCAGTGCATGCACAAGGGCTCCAATTTCTCCACATCCTCACCAACACTTGTTGTTTTCCGGGGTTTTTTTTAATTATTGGATTTTCTGTCTTATTGATTAGAAGTACTTTCTTGTATATTATAGATATTAACCCATTATCATCTTTAAGCATTATAAATTTCTTCTATCATTTGTATGAAAACTTTGTCCATGTTGTCCTTAGATGAAAAAAAATTTTTGATAGAAAGACTCACCAATATTTTACCTTATGGTTTGTGGTTTTTAAGAAGTCCCAAGATCACAGATATTCTGCTGAATTTTGACCCACAGATGTTATTTTCTCTTTCATATTTATATCTTTAATTCATCTCTAGTAACTGTCTTTTCTCATTGATTTTGGTTTTACTTTTATCATATACTAAATTTCCATATATACTTAGGTCTATCTCTGAGCTTACTATTTTTCTTCCATTGGTCTATTTGTCTATACCACACTATTTTTTTAAAAGATTTTATTTATTCATTTGACAGAGAACAAGCGCAAGCAGGGGGAGCGGCAGCCAGAGAGAGAGGGAGAAGCAGACTCCCTGCTGAGCAAGGAGCCCGATGTGGGGCTCAATCCCAGGGCCCCAGGATCATGACCTGAGCCGAAGGGAGACACTTAACCAACTGTGCCCCCCAGGTGCCCCTATACCACACTATTTTTTAAAATATGACCTTATAGAGGAGCACCTGGGTGGTTCAGTCAGTAAAACATCTGCCTTCGGCTCAGATCATGATCTTGGGGTCCTGGGAACTCAAGAGACATATATTTCTGGAGGATTTTCTTATGATCATGAGTCCTTCCTATTCTGTGTATCCTGAATTTTCTTCCTTGGATCAAATCAAAGAGGGCTTTGCTCTTGATACAGTGTTTTGGCTTCTCATTGACTTGCCTTCTCTGAACTGTGCTTTGGCACTGTGCCAACAGCTTTTTTTTTGCCAGTGATTACATACAACTATAGACATAGAAGAGTCACCTTGTATTTAAAGTAGGGATGTTGTCAGGGTGCCTGGGTGACTCAGTCAGTTGGGCAGCCAACTCTTGATTTTGGCTCTGGTCATGATCTCAGGGACCTGGGAGCCTGAGCTCCTACACTGGGCTCTGTGCTCAGTACAGAGTCTGCCTGAGATTCTCTCTCTCTCCCTCTGCCCCTCCCCCTGCACTCTCTCTCTAAAAATAATCTTTTAAAAAATAAAATAGGATGGGGTGCCTGGGTGGCTCAGTCATTAAGTGTCTGCCTTCAGCTCAGGTCATGATCCTGGGGTCCTGGGATCGAGCCCCACATCGGGCTCCCTGCTTCGCGGGAAGCCTGCTTCTCCCTCTCCCAGTCCCCCTGCTTGTGTTCCCTCTCTCGCTGTCTCTCTCTCTCTCTGTGTCAAATAAATAAATAAAATCTTTTAAAAAATAAAATAGGATGTTGTCAAGGACATTTTCAACTCTATTACATACTTCTCAAAAAATACACCTATCAGACAATTTTTTCTTAGGATAAAAGTGTCTTAATGGGTTTGTTTTTATTTTATGGTCACTGAGTCTTAAACCTGAGCATGTTTCCTCTGCTTTGGCCTTAGGAAACTCAGAGCTAGAATTCCAACTGCCATGCAGAACAATATGAGACTCATTTCTGCAAGCTCTTTTTTTCTCCTGAATTTTTATTTCTTACTGCCCTAACCCTTTGCCCTGAATATCTCAATTATTTATTTTGTAGTAAGAGTTTCTCCTATCTTGAACACCCTAATATGTTCTAGGCAAATTACATATATCATCCATTTAATCTTCATAGCAAGCTGTGAGATTGGGACGTTGTCTATCCTTTACAAATGAGGTTAGTAAATTTAAGTCACTTGTTCCTGGCCACATAGGTAGTAAGCGGAGAGCCCAGAAGCCAACTGCTCTGACTCCCAGGTGCATGCTCCACCTGCTGTCCGGGTGGTCTACTTATTAAGATACAGGTTCCTGGGCACCATTCCCAACCTGGTAAATAAGAACCTCTTTGAGGGACGCCTCGGTGGCTCAGTTGTTAAGCATCTGCCTTTGGCTCAGGTCATGATACTGAGGTCCTGGGATCGAGCCCCGTATTGGGCTCCTTGCTCTGTGGGGAGTCTGCTTCTCCCTCTGCCTCTGCCCTGCTTATGTTCCCTCTCTGTCTCTCTCTCTCTGTCAAATAAATAAAATCTTTAAAAAAAGAAAAAAGAACCTCTTTGAGTTGTGGGAGAGGCCAGTAACCTACATTTCAACAGGTTTCCCAAGTTACTCTCATGCATCCAAAAGTTCAAGAATTCCTGTACAAGCTATATAGCCAAATGCCCTCTATCTGTTGAGATACTGCACATAGCCTTTCTAACAATTTTTCCCTAACCAAACAGATATAACTTTCTGTAAAACATCAAGTCTGTCATGCTCTGACCTTGGTCATGTGTAGATATTCATGTGCAATTATTATTATTCATTCTGCCTGTCTCTTCTTTGGACTGGCCCTAATGAAAGCACAGAGGTACCCAGAGGGAGGTGAGCAGGCCTCCCAGGCCACTATGCATGAGGTAACATGAGGCTCAGAACCTTGCTAGAGTAAGAGCAGTCACTCCTACGTGAGCTTGGATAAGCATTATGACTCCTCAGGGTTCACCCTGCAACCACTAGCTATGAACTGCTGGTAAGGACCTATGTTTGCTCTAATTTTTCCTAATATTTTATATCAGACTGGCCTCCAGCCTTAATGTCATGGGCCGATGCATCCAGAAGTTAAGACCTGTGTGAGGTCAGGGAAGTTTCAGTACTGCCCTGTGTAGGGAGAAGTTTTAATACGGGTTTTTATGAACGCCATAACATGTAGCCTACCAGTTTTCTCTCCTTAGAGAAATTGGGTAACTCAGCAGGATCTAGTCCCTGGGATGCTTAGCATGGTTGGAGGCATGTGGCCCTCCCTGGGGTGTTCCAGAGCCACAGCCCCACTCTGCAGCCTGATCAGGGCCTGTCTGGTTGTTGCAGTGCAAGCCACATGGATGGCCTACGACATGGTGGTGATGCGCACCAACCCCTCGCTGGCAGAGTCCATGCGCCGTCTGGAGGATGCCTTCCTCAACTGCAAGGAGGAGATGGAGAAGAACTGGCAAGAGCTGCTCAATGAGGCCAAGCATAAACAGTAGGCCCCCTGTCCACCCACGGCCACCATGCTGCCATCTGCCAATGTGGAGAAGCCCCTAAGGCACGGAGCCTTCTCTGCTGGCAGAGTAACAGCGACCAAAATGTATAGCTGTATTAACAGTACTTGTTTCTCAATAAACTTATTTTTAAGAACAACCTGAGGACCCCTTTCTGTCCTACCCAGCAGCATATCCAACCTTGCGAACAAAAATGAGAATTATAAGATGCAGATGCTTTCAATGAATTAAACATATTTAGTGCCAGTAGCACCGAGCATAGAATAAAAAGCAAAAACGGAGCCAGATAGAGACAAACCAGGTCAGAGGGTGGGACAGGTAGCAGTATTCAGTCAGATTTATTTACCTTCCTATGGTGGATTCCAAAATAGGCAAAGGGGAACATTGTTTATTCATCCTGGGCACTGTGCTAGGTGCTCACATATGTGACCGTATGTTCTCACAACTCTCCTGAGTAACAGATGTTCATTGTCCCCATTTCACAGATGAGAAGAATGAAATTAGATGTCTCTTCTAAGTCCACAGCTAAAAGGGAAAGAGCTCAGGGGAAACCTGGGTCTCACGTAAGAACAGGCGTTGGTGGGAAGTGAGGCTGGCTTCTAGAGGGGCAGAGCAGGTGGGAGAGACCCCACAGAGGGGCATGAGCCCAAGTGGTCCTGGCCAGGCCTGGGCTGGGGTTACAGTCAGGGGCTGCAGACAGCAGAATGGTTTCATAGACAAGGGTTCTAGGCCTCTGGGATCAGACAAAGGAGGGCTACAGAGTTGTTCCCAAGGCCAAGCCAGGCTCCTGAGGCCTGAGACAAAGACATTTTCCTGGGGACTTTTCTGTTCCTTGTTCCCCCTTCCCACTTCCTTATAGACTCCTTGCCCAGCTTGGATCCCTAGGGACAAAAGACAGGAAGTGTGACTTGTTTCTAGCCACCTCCTTCCTCTGCTCAGCAGTCACTCAGCTCCTCCACAGGCCAAATCCTGGTCCTTAAGGACACATCATCAGTCCCTGGCTCTCAGAGTACCAGTAGACCCACAGACAGATGTTTTTCCAGGCAGTGTGGTGCTGCCAGAGGGAGCCTGGCCCTGGAGCCCAGAGAAGGAGAACCATCCTGGAGGAGGGGCTATGTGAGCCAGCTGAGGTGTGAGGGCAACAACTAAGTCATAAAGGCAGTAGACAGCATTCTGTGGTGGGAGGCTGGGAAACGGGGTAGGGATGGCCCAAAACCAGCTCACAGGTAGGTACAAGGAGCCTGAGCTCCCAGGGGGAGAGGTCTCTTTTAAGGGCTGGGGGGTATGGAAGGGGGAAATCATGAGTCTTATTAAAACAGAAAAAGAAAGCTGTCCCAGAAACAATGGCAGAAAGTTCTGGATCCCAGCCACCTTCTGTGCCCCACCTGCCAGCAGACCCCCAGCCCCAGGGTCTCCCCGGAGAGCAGCTCAGAGGGCAGTCTGCAGGGGGTCGGTGGCAGGCAGAGTCAGGATGAATGGACAGAGGATGCCCTTACTCCCCAGAGCAAAGGGCTGCAGCTCCCTGGCCTGGAACTGGGCAGTCCCCTCGGAGACCGTAAAGGTGGCCGTGACCTGGTGGTTGAGGCAGTAAATGGTGTTGCCCAGCGCGGTGCAGTGCAGTGGGGCCGGGTCGGGCAGTGGCAAGGAGGCCGCCCGGCTCCAGGAGCCGGTCACCGTGTTGTAGCGCATCACCGCAGCGCCCACGCCCCGCAGCAGGTCGAAGCGGTAGAGGAAGGCTCCCAACGCCACCATGTCGCTGGAACGCCGGTGGCTGGCGCTGTAGGGGCACTCATCCCATGCATCCTTCCCAGGGCTGTACCTCAGCAAGCGGTAGAAGAGGTGGCCCCCAGTGACATAGATGTCCCCACGGCAGGCCACAGCCTCGTGGGCCACAGGGAAGGTGCCTGCGGGGAGGGGCGCGCGCGAGGTCCAGGCGTCCGTGCGCGGATCGTAGCTCTCCATGCTGTACAGGCACTCGCCACCGATGGCGTAAAGCAGCCCGTCCAGAGCCACCAGCTTGAGCTGGGCCCGGGCCTGCTGCATGGGCCTCACCTGGCTCCAGATGTTGGTCAGCGGGTTGTAGCAGAAGACCTCGTTGGAGCAGACGGCCTTGGCACCGGAGCCTCGGATGCCCCCGGCCAGGAACAGGTAGTTGTGCATGGTGCAGAGACCACAGCCCCGCAGCGGGGCCTCCTCCGGCACCTGAGTCAGGGGCCGCCAGGTGTTTTCTCGGGGGTTGAACACGTGCAGGTGCGTGCGCGGAGGCAGGGGGGCAGGCCCCGGAGTAGGCGCCTCCTCCCCACAGGGGCCCCTGGTGAGCCCCGAGCGGCCCACCCGGTAGAGGCTGGGCAGCACAAGGACCCCCAGCACCGCCTGGCCCCGGCCAGTCCGAAGGCTCAGGATGCGCTCCCGGTCCGCCCCGCTCAGCTGCCGGTAGAGGTGCGGGTCTCCCAGCACGTGCAGCAGATTGTCGCTCATCAAGGCGTAGGTCTCCCGCAGCAGGCCGGGCTCCGCGTGCCGCCGGGCGAAGGCCAGGACGTCCAGGCAGTTGCCCAGGTCCGGGCGTTGTCGTAGAGCCGCGGCCGAAGCCGGCTCGCGGGCTAGGGCGCTGGGCTTCCGGGGCCCCTCCCCCGCCCCCCCGCGCCCCGGCCTCTGCAGAAGCACCAGGAGCCTGCGCGCCTCTTTCTGCTTTCCCGGGACCACTACCCCGCTGCCTGCAGGGCGGGGCTTCTCCCCTGGAGCCTCTCCCCGGCGCCTCGCGGACGCAGCCTGGCGGACGCCGCGCTCGGAGCTCTCTGCTCTTTCACACGCGCTGCGATTCCGCGGTGGCGGGACCGGCTGTGAGGCGCCCCTCCCAGTGGGGGAGGGTTGGGGGCCAGACTGCCTCCGCTCCGGGCGCGGTGATGGGGCCCCGGGCATTGCAGCTCCGGGCAACAGAGGGTCTTCTGCACGCTTCTCCTCGACTGCATCTCCTCTCGGACCTGAGGGAGGCTCTGGGATGGGAGCCTCCTTGGTCTCCAAGTGGCTCTGCTGTTGCCGACGTCCAGCCTCTGTGTCTGCCCCTGAGGAGCCATTCCTGACCTCCAGGCTGGGGGCGGCCCCTTCAGGGACAGAACCAGACTCTCTGTTCTCAGAGGGTGCACCAGTGCTGGGATCTCTAGGGCTCTTGGGAGCTGCCCTTGGGGCTCTCCCTTGGGCTCTCTCTTGCCTGGGGAAAGGGTGACTCCTAAGAACCATGGAAATAAGATTTTCCCAGCTGGTTGAGATTTGCCCCTCCTGCTTGTCCTTGCGGAGAGCCACACTGTGGTCCTGTGCCGTAGGCCTTGACCCACTACTGGGGGCAGGGGACAGGGCTGGGGCTGCAGCTGAGGATGGCGCTGGGGCTGACACTAGGGCTGGGGCTGGGGCTGGGGTTGAGGCTAAGGCAGGGGACGGGGCTGGGGCTGGGGCTGGGGTTGAGGCTAGGGCAGGGGACGGGGCTGGGGCTGGGGCTGCAGCTGGGGCTTGCACTGGCCTGTGAGTTTCATCCTCCACAGGACCCTGGCTAACTCTGAGGGACAAAGAGTCTGAAGGCGAGGAGGTTGGGCCTACAGGTAAGAGACCTCCTTGGGGACGTACTGTCAGAGGGGAAGCCAAGGGTGGAAGGGGCTTAGGGAAGCGTGGAGAGGGTGTGGCTAAGGGACTCAAGGAGGGGGCTCCCTGGACGGTGTCTGTAGAGGGCTTTCCTCTGTCCTGAAGGCCTCCCTCCTGCTCACTGCTCTGCTCCCCCTGGCCTTGCTGGGATTCTCTCCCTTCTCTGACGCCGTGGTCCGCTTGCTCCTCTGTCCCACCGGGCCCTGAGCTGAAGAAAGAGCCATCTCCAGAGCCATTAGCCCCAGCCTTTACTGCGTTGTTGGCGTCTGTGGTCCCCTGCCCTTGAGACAAGAGTGGGTGTCCACACTGCGACCCCTCTGGCCATGGGCCTATGGAGCCTGGGGCCTGGCTGAAGCTCCTGGTGACAAGAAAATCCCTCCTCTCCCAGGGCCAGCCTTCCACGGAGGCTGGAGATCCCTGAGCCTCCCTGGGAGCCTGGGACCCAGGCTCCCTGCTTTCCAGAGCTAGGACTGGGGCTGGTTGGAGGCTGCTCTCCCTGCACCCCTTCTCTGTGCCCTCAGCCGAGGGCCCAGTCTGCGTGGTATGTGATGGAGGTGGCTCCTGGGGAACAGGGGGCCTCTGAGAGCCTGTGGAGAGGCTGCTACCTGCATCCACAGCATCCCACACGCTCACCACAGCGCCCAGGCGCAGGGAGTCCAACCTCGGGAAGTGGCGGTTTCTATCTCCTGAGCTGTGGTCCACCTGCCACCGCCGGCTGCTGGGGCCTCTCTCTAGTGAGCCAGGTGACCCTACACCTCGTTGCCAGGGACTGGTGTCCTGTTCTGTGGTGTGGACCAGGCCCTGGTGAGTTGGCACCTTGACTTGGACGCCTCCTGCCTCCACTTGTCCTTCCATCTGTCTGCCAGGACTCCGAGGGGTGAAGTGTATCAGGAGGGGGCCAGACATCCCCCCCACTTTGCTTCTACCCACAAGGGCAGTACCTGGCCCGAGAGGCTCCCTTCTTTTGCCTCGGGGGGCTTCTGGCTTGGCATTACCTTGCTGCTGTCCCAAGGCCCCTCCAGTGGTCACCTCACCAGCTGTCTTGAGTGGAGGTAGAGCTGTGGCAGCCAGACGGCCACCTCTCCGGAGCTTCGGATCCTGGGCCCCTGCTGCAGCCGGACTCCCCTGGCCACGTCCCGGAGGGTCTGGCTTCCCCTGCCCTGGGCTGCTTCCCTCAACACCACCACTGACCTTGGGCTTCAGGGGCAGGGCGGGCCTGGCTCCTCCCGCCTGTGAAGGCTGGGCCCCAGGGGCTGTGGGTGCGGGTGCTGCTGCCTCCTGGTCCTGCCCAGAGCCAAACCAGTGCAAGGCCAGAGCCGTGGCGGCCACCACAGCCAGCGCCAGCAGGGTCAGGACAGCGCCGTCCCAGTCATCCTCCCCGTCCCAGCCCCAGCTGAGGCCATCAGGCTCCGAGGCACCCTGGATCATGGTGCTGGGCTGCAGATGCAGCGTGAGGAGCCGGGTCAGCAGGCGGGAAGCTGCGTGTGCTTCCTGCAAGTCGGGCCTGCGCTCAGGTCTGCACAGATGGCATCAACAATGAGCTCCGCCCACAGGGCTGCCCAGTTAAGGTGGACCTGTGCTGGGGGACAGTCGCTCTGCCTGGCCTAGGATGGGGTGGGTCTCTGTGCCCGTGCCTGGATGGGGGTTTGTCAGTGGAGCTAGGCGGAGCTCTCAGGAGTCAGCATAATATCCAAGAGCTCCAGGAGCTCAGGGGCCTCTCCAGGCCCACCTGCCCCCTTCGCCTTGCCATGGGGTCCAGTGGCAAATGGCATTGTTCCTCAACACAGTTCCAGATCCCAGCCAACCTGCTTCTACCTACAGACCCTCAGACCCCCCCAAACTTCCACCCCATTGTTCCAACTCTGAGCCTGGGTCCAGCCTCAGGAGCTCTTTCAGGGAAGAGTTACCCACAGGGAGATGTTATCTGCAGCTTTAGCAACATGATGCAGCCCTGATGAAATTACCAGAAACCCAAGAAGACGGTTCCACTGTGGGCCAGCGGGGGAGGGGTGGGAGAGGCACACACCCCATCGTGCCAACACTGCAAGCTGGTCTCAGACTGAGGGAGACCATGGAGGGCATGCATCCTGACACTAAGCACTGCCTTAGAAAGTGCATCCTCGGGGCACCTGCGTGGCTCAGTCGTTAAGCGTCTGCCTTCAGCTTGGGTCATGATACCAGGGTCCTGGGATCGAGCCCCGCATCAGGCTCCCTGCTCCGCAGGAAGCCTGCTTCTCCCACTCCCACTCCCCCTGCTTGTGTTCCTTCTCTCACTTTGTCTCTCTCTGTCAAATAAATAAATAAAATCATAAAAAAAAAAAAGAAAGAAAGTGCATCCTCCTGTCACCTCAGGTGTGAAGTGGAGACTTGCACTGTTCTCTCCCAGGACGCATTAGGGTGCTTGAGAGGGGCCAAGGCTAAAGCCCCCATCTCCCCTCTTCCAGCAGCCTCTGGACTTCCCTTACCCTGAGTTCAGCAGAGATGGGATAGAGTTTTCTAAAGGAATTTTCTAAGCTATCAAGAGAAAAAAAATGAACAAAATAAAGAAAATCCAAAAGTTGTATTTCTCTATTGGCCTGGCTTATTACAACCCACCTGCCCTTTCTAGAGCCTCCTGGGCCTCCCCCTGCACCCTATGGACCATCTTGACTGCTCAGATGCCTCTTCCATGGTGCCCCCAGAAAGCCCTGAGCCCAGCCTGCTCTTACCCCTGTTACCTCACCAGCCAGCCCCCAGCATCCCTCAGAGACCCTCCTCTGACCCCAGGTAATCTATCAGCCTGACTTCTGGGTATCCCATCTCATTCCTTGGCCTTCCCTCATCTTAGCCAAATCACTCCACTCCAGCGTCCTCACTGGAACTCAGCCCCCTTACAGGTCAGCACGTAGATCCTTCTGCTGGGCATGCACTTGGCTTCCCTCAGCTTGGTTTCTCAGGGAAGGAGCCTTGTCTCCTCCATCTGCTTTTCACTTAACCTCATCTCAAGAATAAGTCTTGGGACAAGTGGGGCCCAGATATGAAAAAGAGCCAGGATCTCTGGGACAAAGCCAGACCCCCTACAACATGTATTCATTCCTTTTTCTAGGACACGGGACTTCTCCCTGACTCAGGCAGTGAGGAGATGGCCAAGGAGCGTCCCTGGCACCCAGCTTGGGCTCTGCTGGACCTCAGGTACCTCACCCATCTGGTCACCTCCCAGCTCCCCTGAACATATTAGATGACAGTAAGAGGGTGGAAGGAGGGCTCATGCCTTAAGGTGGACCTCAAGTTGGTGGCAGGGTTTATGGACATTGTACTTATTCCTATCCCAGTCTCAGGTTCTGCCTCTTGGTTGTTTGGGGTCCAGAGACCTTGAAAAGTTGGAGATGACAAGCCCACCTGCACCTCCTTATAGGCCATGCCATACCCTATCAGGCATTTCTACCAAGCTTCTGAAAATACCTGTTGTTAGCAGAGCCCCAGGCTGCTGTCAGAGAACAGGAGAAGTGTCCAGCAAGTGATACCTTAGGGTACTATGGGGGGAGGAACCAAGCACAGAAAATCACCCCAATCAATTTCACAAGGTGTCAAGGACTCTGATGGGTCTTGGTGGCACAGGTGACCAAGGAAGGGTCTAGTCCCATCCTCTGTGGAAAGAAAACACCTCTCTTTGTCAAAATCCAGGGGGAGGGCGAAACTCTACTGCACGGAGAAAATCCCTATTGGGAAGGTGACCAGGGACATGTTACCTCCCTAAATTGTGGGAGATTCGCCCTCCTAACTTCCCAGAGAATGTAAAAATGTAGTACTGCTGGAAATGTGACAGAACATGAAGTCACCTAGACAAATTGTGAAACAAAAATCGTTCTAGTTGTGCTATGAGACAATGTAAATATCAAAGTTACCATTAAGGGGAAAAACAAACATCAAGAAAGTAGATCTGACCATTAGTGGCATCCTGCTGAGGCAGAAATCCTGTTCCAGTCTACACAAGGAATAGAGAGGGATTCATGCCTAGTACCTGAAGCTTCTGTTTCCTCAGACAGTCCAAAACAGGAACGGATGAGTCTCCTGCTTATCAGCAACCAACTATCCATACACTGGGAGCCTAGGAATAGAAGATATATCCATGTATGAGCTGATCCACTGCAGCCACTCATAGAGGAACCCAGTGCTACCTGGTCACTGAACCTGGACAAAGCTGGATGGTGCCCTGGCCACCAGTGTGCCTTCTCTGAAACATTTAGTGGAAGAAAAGCACAGTGACATAATGACATAATTCCAAATGGAGAGCTAATATACATAAGGTGAGCAGCAAACCTCATCAAATGTAGGGTTTCTCTATTACTGGAATTTCTAAAAGCAGAAAATATTATATAATCAGAAATGATATAAAACAAAGAATATTAAAAAAACAAAGAATATAATATATAATCCTATACTTAGAAGTATACATGTAATTTTATATATGTATAAATAAGTCTAGAATAATGTTTAAGGCTTAGAAAATATAAATCCCAGATTAAATAATCACACCCTACAGGGACTGCTTCTTAAGGAATTCATCTGACATGGGAAAAGATTTATACAAAGAAGAAAAAAGTTATGTAAAAAAAATAAACAATACAATATGATTTAAAATGGAAAAAAACTAAAACATGTAAGCATTCAACAATATGGTAATGATGAAAACATGGACACGACTTTAAGATGTGGTATTGAAAAACTTAAATAATTATTAATAATGTGGCTGTGAAGTTTAATACTGATATTAATGGAGATCCCATAATAGAAGAGGCATAGTATTTTAAAACAAGTTCAAAGTATGAGAAGGGAGAGAGAAGAAAGACATAAAGCATAATGAAAGTCACCTCTTGGGCGCCTGGGTGGCTCAGTTGGTTAAGCAACTGCCTTCAGCTCAGGTCATGATCCTGGAGTCCCGGGATCGAGTCCCGCACTGGGCTCCCTGCTCAGCGAGGAGCCTGCTTCTCCCTCTGACCCTCCCCCCCTCTCATGTACTCTCTCTCATTCTCGCTCTCTCAAATAAATAAATAAATCTTTAAAAAAAAAAAAAGAAAGTCACCTCTTATTCCAAAAGGGTGAATATATATCTAAATCTTGAAATCAGTTGCTAAATTCAGTTCAAATGTAAGTTTAAATTTTTTTTTAAGATTTTATTTATTTATCTGAGAGAGAGAATGGCAGACAGAGAGCATGAGAGGGGGAGGATCAGAGGGAGAAGCAGACTCCCCGCTGAGCAGGTAGCCCGATGTGGGACTCGGTCCCGGGACTCCAGGATCATGACCTGAGCTGAAGGCAGTCGCTTAACCAACTGAGCCACCCAGGCGCCCATAAGTTTAAATTTTTTTTAATTCTAAATTGATGTATACATTTACCACATTCAGGGATTGGAAAACTTAATGTCATAAAGATGACAATTGATGAAAGACAATTCAGAGATTCAAAAGACCCAATGAATGTCAAGCAGGAGAAATAAAAGGAAATTCATACCAAGATACACCAGAGTAAAAAACTGCAGCAAAGACAAAAGATGGAAAATCTTAAGAGCAACCCCCCAAAAAAGACAGATCACCTACAGAGGAATGACAGTCTTCAGCTGACTTCTCAATGACAAAAAAACTGTAGGCCAAAAGACAATTTAATGAAATTTTCAATGTGCTGAAACAAAACAATCTAAAGTTCTATAGCTAGAAGACATATCTTTCAAGAATGAAGGCAAAACAAAAACCTTTCCAGACAAACACTGAGAGTCTTCAATGAAGGAAATGCTAAACTAAGAATGCCAGAAGGAAAGAAGAGCAAAAACAACAAAAATGGCAAAGATGTGAATAAATCTAAATGAGCATTGACTTTATAAAACAATAATAAGTTCTTGTGAATGTCTTAATTATTTAGAATTAAAAGAAAAACAATAGAATCAATGAAACCAAAGTTGGTTCTTTGCAAAGATCAACAAAACTGACAAGCCTTTAGCTAGACTGATGAAGAAAAAAAGGGAGAAGACACAAAAAACTAAAATCAGAAGTGAAAGTGGGAATGTTACTACCAACCCTACAGGAAAGAAAAGGGTTATAAGAGAATACTGTGAACAACTGTACACCAACAAATTAGATAACCTAGATGAAATGGACAAATTCCTAGAAACACACAAACTACCAAAACAGACTCAGAAGAAATAGAAAATCTCAATAGACCTATAACAAGAAATGGAATCTGTAATCAAAAACCTCTCAACAAGGGCACCTGGGTGCCTCAGTTGTCAAGCGTCTGCCTTCGGCTCAGGTCATGATCCCAGGGTCCTGGGAATGAGCCCCACATCAGGCTCCCTGCTCGGCGGACGGCCTGCTTCTCCCTCTCCCTCTGCCTGCCACTCCCCCTGCACTTGCTCTCTCTCTCTTTCAAGTAAATAAATAAAATCTTAAAAAAAAAAAAAAAACTCCCAACAAAGAAAATTCCAGGATTTAGATGGCTTCACTGGTGAGTTCTACCAAACATTTAATGAATTAACACCAATCCTCTCAAACTCTTCCAAAAAAATTGAAGAGGGGTGCCTGGGTGGCTCAGTCGTTAAGCGTCTGCCTTCTGCTCAGGTCATGATCCCGGGGTCCTGGGATCAAGCCCCGCATTGGACTCCCTGCTCCACAGGAAACCTGCGTCTCCCTCTCCCACTCCCCCTGCTTGTGTTCCCTCTCTCGCTATCTCTCTGTCAAATAAATAAATAAAATCTTTAAAAAAAAAAATTGAAGAGGTAGGAATACTTCCTTATTCTATAAGGACAGCATTACCCTGATACCAAAGCCAGATAAATACATCATAAGAAAAGAAAATTACAGACCAATATCCCTTAGTAATATAGATGCAAAAATCCTCAACAAAATACTAGCAAACTGATCCAAGAATCCATGGGTGGCTCAGTCGTTAAGCGTCTGCCTTTGGCTCAGGTCATGATCCCAGGGTCCTGGGATCGAGCCCCGCATCGGGCTCCCTGCTCAGTGGGAAGCCTGCTTCTCCCTCTCCCACTCCCCCTGCTTGTGTTCCCTCTCTCACTGTGTCTCTCTCTGTCAAATAAATAAATAAAATCTTTAAAAAAAATAATAATCCATATTAAAGACCAGGAATGCAAGGGTGGTTCAACAAAAGAAAATCAATCAGTGTAATACATTGATTAGAATACATTAATTATTAGACTACATTAATAAAGGGAAATTAAAGGGAAAAAAATACATGATCATCTCAACTGACACAGAAAAAGCACTTGACAAAATCCAATAACCTTTTATGACAAAAACACTCAGAAAACTAGGAATCAAAAGGAAATACCTCAACATGATAAAGGAAATTGAAGAAAAACCCACAGCTAACATCATACTCAATGGTGAAAGACTGAAAATGTTCCCTCCACCTACGATCAGAAACAAGGAAAGAATGCCTGCTTTCACTGCTGCTATTCAATACAGTACCAGAAGTACTAGCCAGAGCTATTAGTGAATAAAAACAAATAAAAAGGCACTCGGATTCAAAAGGAAGAGGCAAAACTCTCTATTCACAGATGATATGATCTTATATATACGTAGATAATCCCAAAGAATCAAAAGAAAGCAACTAAAGGTAGTAAAAAATTTTTCAGCAAAATTGCAATATACAAGAACAACACACAAAAATCAGTTGTGTTTCTACACACCAGCAACAAACAATCTGAAAAGGAAATTAAGAAAGCAGTTCCATTTACAGTATTATTTAAAAGAATTAAATAGTTGGGAATAAATCTAACCAAGGAGGTGACAGACTTGTATGCTGAAAACTACAAACATTGCTGAAAGAAATTAAAGACTAAATACGTTCATGGATTGGAAGACTTGCTATTCCTAAGATGTCAATACTATCTACAGTGATCTACAGATTCAATGCAACCTCTACCAAAATTCAAATGCCCCCTTTTGTAGAAATGGCAAAACTAACCCTCAAATTCATGTGGAATTGCAAGAGGCCTCAAATAGCCAAAAAAAAAAAAAAAAAAAAAAAAACTTGAAAGAGAACAAAATTAGAGAACTCACGGTTTCCAACTTCAAAACTTAGTACACATCTACAGCATTCAGAACAGTGTGGTACTCACACAAAGATGGACATACAGACCAATGGAATAGAAATGAAAGTCCAGAAATAAATCCATGCATCTATGGTCAGTTGATTTTCTGGTAAGGGTGCAAAGGCCGTTCAACGGAGAGAGAATAATCTCATTGATAAATAGTGCTAGGATAGCTGGATATCCACATGCAGAAGAATGAAGTTGGACCCCTACCTCACACTGTATACAAAAATTAACTTCAAATGGATCAGCAATCTAAGTATAAGAGCTATAACCATAGAACTCTTAGAAGAAAACATAGGAATAAATATTCATGACCTTGGTTTTGACAATGGATTCTTAGATACGACATCAATAAAAATGAGCAAAAAGGGGGGCGCCTGGGTGGCTCAGATGGTTGAGCATCCAACTCTTGATTTTGGCTCAGATCGTGATCTCAGGGTCCTGGGATCAGGCCCCGCATCAGGGGTCCGCACTCAGTGGGGAGTCTGCCTGAGGATTCTCTCCCTCTCCCTCTGCCCCTCCTGCTCATGCTCGCTCACTCTCTCTCTCAAATAAATAAGTCAGTCTTTTGAAAAAATGAGCAACAAAAGAAAACATAGACAGACTAGACTGCAATGAAATGTAAAACTTTTGTGCATCAAAAGACATTATCAAGAGGGGCGCCTGGGTGGCTCAGTTGGTTAAGCGACTGCCTTCGGCTCAGGTCATGATCCTGGAGTCCCGGGATCGAGTCCCATATCGGGCTCCCTGCTCAGCAGGGGGTCTACTTCTCCCTCTGCCCTCTTCCCTCTCACGCT